AAAAATCTATGGTACAAATAAAATTTTCTATAATTGATATAATGTTTGATAATAATTTTTAATATTTTGTTTCTTTTAGAAATATGGAACCGCTAATTGTAAATAAGAGTGATTGCCGACTTTATTAAACAAATTTGCGAAGAATAATTTCCGTACCGGTCGATTTGTTTATTATAGAAGTGAGTCAAGTGACCCCATTTTGATGTAACAGAAGAAGGTCCAGAGTTGATTTCCAATTCAATGGACAAAACCCTTGAATATTTATTAGAAACTAACAAAATGTCAATTTAGGCTTTTTAGCAACACGTTATGGCGTTGAAACCTTGAATTACGAAAAAGGCCAGGTAGAAATGATGCTTTACAAATATTCTCCTTATCTATCAAGCATAATCGTGTAATTTTGATACAGTATCCAAGATACGAGATTCTAATGGAGTTTCAGAAAAAGATAAAATTGTCTATTTAAAATATGTTTTTATCTACGACAGGCTTTGAAACTATTAACTGGGCTGGGAAATTTAAGGGTGCGTTTGGTTGTGGAAAACTATTTTTATTTTTTAAGGAAAAAAAATAAGAAAATGTTTTTAGAAAATAGAATTGAGTTTTCAATGAAAATGCGTTTGGTTGGAACCGATGCAGTTTTCATTTTCCATCTTACAAATTTGGAAAACTGTAAAAATCGCTTTTCATAGTTACATACAATTTTAAAAACTGAAAATTTTCATTTTTTTAGAAAACTTTGGAAAATTGAACGAACCAAACGTTTTCAAAATTTCTGCTTTTCTTGGAAAGTTTTATACAACCAAACGCACCCTAAGATTTTTTCTAAGTTTTCTATTTGTTTGATATTTAATATTTAGCCCCCGGCACCTACCCTGTTTCATCTCATTTGTTTTACCCTCTCTCTCACTGTTCACCATTGTAACCCTCCTCCACCAACCAACACCATCACCTCTCACTACCAACTAACCATTCCTCGATCGCCACACATCTTCACTTGTAACACACATATATAGTAGCACAAATGTATAGTTACAAGCATAGATACACCTATAAGACAATTGATGAAACAATCTCAGCATGCATAAAGGATTTTTTTTTTTCATACATTTATTAAACCTAGAAATCAACCTCAAAAATGCGTTTCCATAGACGAAGTAGGCCTAGTCAAAATCGAAGGGCTCTGATTCTCAATCGTGATGATATTAAACCTAAAAACCGGCAACAAAAATTTGATTTTTAATTCCATTAACAAAATCGAATATATGTGACGAATTCAACTGATAGTTATGAAGAAATAAACCAACTTGATCTATCTCAATTCATTCGATGACTCTGAACCATACCACCCATTAAGACCTTCAAGATTCTCAAAAGCAAACATAACCCACATATTTTGAGGCTCCATTGAAGACAATGTTTTTTGCACCGGTTGAAGACGACTTAGGTGGTTGTAATGTTTCTCGACAATGATACGAGGATAAGAAGAAGAAAGACTCGATAATGGTAGGCGACAAGAAAGGTAGCTGATGCCGAATGAGAAGATGACGGTGTCAACTACTTTTTCTTCCCAAGCGGTACTGGTTGTATTTTATGACTAAGAAAAGTGACTATCACATCAATTTTTTTTCTTTCATTTTTATTCATCTTTTTCGACCCACAACACACGTAAACCCTATATTTTTCAACCCACTCAACCTATTCAATTAAAAAAATACAAAACAATCAAAGTAAAATCTTAATTAGCAACAAAGTACCGTCGGTACCACTCTCTTTTCAGCGGGTTGTTTAATTGGTTTCACTAACCCACTTCATCCTCTCTCTACTTTTTCTCTCTCATTTTCTCTTGTACCATGTGTTTTAAAACTTGTATTTTAGTTGTTTTGTATTTTTTTTAATTGAATGGGTTGAATGAATTGAGAAATATAAGATTTACGTGTTGTGGGTTGAGAAAGATGAAGAAAAAGGAAAAATAAAAATTGATGTGACAGTGGGTTCAGTGGGTTGGAAGAGAATGATTCCCTCATCCATAACTTAAAGACACAAAATAAGAAAAGAAAAAGGAACGATAAGGCTATGGGGAGTAGTCATACTCAACCCACTCAAAAAGTGATAACAACTCACCGTGATGTCAGCTCCATTATAAGGTCACTACTAAATCACTAGCCATTGGAAATGGTTACCACTCTATAATATTTATCTTTTTATTTTTGATTTTTTTGACATTAAATTAAATAAAAAACATAGTTTAAAACATAAATAAATATTTTACATTAATTAAAAAAACATATTAAAATCGTAAATTACTTAAAAAAACATAAAAAGTAAAACCTAAATTACTAAAAAAAACATAAAACATACCAAATAAAACATTACATTACTTAGAAAACATAAAAATTTAAAATCTAAAAAACATAGAAAACACAGAAAATACCACTCGTTTTCGTTGTCGTCCTCATCCTCATCATCGTCACTGCCTCACCGGCCGCGTTTTCGGCGTCACCGTCCTCATCCTCGTCGTCGTCATTGTCATTTTGCCTTTGAAATTGTCTTTCCAATATATGCTTGGTCAAATCGTGACGTAGATTGTGATGTGTTTCATGGTTTTGTATTTCCAAAACCCTAAAGTATACCGGGCTGCCAACTTGTATTACTATAGGTGGACTAAGTATGTCGTTCGTGGTATACGTACAAATAGCCGTACCCTCTTTTTCTATTATCATGTTATGTAAAATAACACAAGCAGTCAATACCATCATCAATTTTACCCTATCCCATGTCCGTAATCACATACCAAAAGTTCGTTTGCCGCGATACGATCCTGGTTGATCGACTTTCTATGCTTCTTCTCGACAGGGCTGACCTTAGTGTGTAACAAATTAAGCCCTTGCTTAGGGCCCTCACTTCTAAGGGGCCCCACTTAACCCAAACCTCAACTAGGGAATAATGAAATGTCGATTAGAATTCTCCAATTTCCATTCGCACACATCCGATCGGCAGAAAAAAAGAAACCGCTATCTATTGAATGCGACTCACAACTCATCGATTGTTCTTCAATTCTTCTTCTTTCTCCGTCGTTTGAATCAATTCTTCTTCTTTCTCCGTCGTCTGAATTTATGATTGATTCTATTTTCTGATTGTTCAGAAATCAGAAAAAGCGGTGATTCCATTGTTGATTCTTCTTTTTGAAAGGCTATCAAGTGTAAGACTCAAGAACTCAATTGATTTGGTGATTCCTGAATTTTGAAAAGTAAGTTCTTCTTCCATTCTTGTTATTATTCTCTGATTATCTATGATTGTGATTTGTGAATGTGTGAAAAGCTGAATCTATTATCTATGTTAAATTTTGTTATTTTGATGAAATTAACTTTGTTTGATAAGTCACTTGGACCAAGCAAATCACACCCCGAGAGCACATACTTCTAGAACTTCTTGGAAAAAATAAGCTTATTTTCATTTAAAATATGTGGCTAAAGCAAGTAAATATGAAAATTCCCTGATAAGTCACTTGGACCAAGCAAGCTCCAGGCCTGCTATCCATTCAGAGTGAAATCGTTTTTGGCATAACTTTTGCACACATTATCCAGTTCACTTGATTATTTTTGAGTTTGCTTCATTTTTAGTTTAGCTACATGATGAAATATATGTAAACCGAAACTTTACACCATATCATGGATTTTAAAATTCATTTCCAAAAAACTATAAACAAAAGTTTGTTCTCTATAGTGGGAGTTTTCCATTCAAAACTTATAAATTTACAATGAGAGCCTTTTCAATGATTATGGTGGTCTTATTAATATAAGCTCGTAGTTAATAGTATAATAAGTAGATCTCATAAATAAGCTATATGAAATGCAGTCATGTTGTGGATATATGTTAAGTTTTTTAATTAGGTTATTAACATGGTGACGACATGCACCAAAATGATATGCGAATTATGAAGTAATTTATTTTTTATTCTGTAGTAGTGCTAGAAATATTTTTTATTTTCTTCACAAAAGAAAGGAATAAATGTCAAAGGGCCCCGAATTTTTGGTTCACTTAGAGCCCCCAAACTAGTTGAGCCGACCTTGCTTCTCGACATTTGAAGTTTCGCCTCTATGACGTAACATGTCTTGTGCTGCGGACAACGTGTGCAAAATTAACCCGTCATCAGAATCATCATCATCGGATGAAGAAGTTAAACCTAAAAAGTTATCAATTTTATTGAAAGTATGTGTTTGTTAGATGTAAAAATATGTGTAAAGTGTATGCATGTATAGAAAGATTTTTTTTATTCATTGCAAACGGCTAGATTAACGGTCAAAAAATGAAACTCGATTGCCATTGGTTGTCTTGGCCTGTCTTCGCAACCCCATCACAACCAAGCCACCGGCCACCGGGACGGTGTTCTACACGTGACTTGAATGTCCACATAGACTCTCACGTGAGTTTGGTTCCCATAACCTAATGGTGGTGGAGTATCCCATTTTATTTGATCATACTATACCTTTTTGATTTAATGATTAAAAATGTAAAAAGGTAAAGGTAAAATAGTTTTTTTAATAGAGACCAAATTCATAATAAAGTATGCCAAAAGGACTGAATCAACTACTTTTTAACTTCGTTAGGACGTTAACTACATAAAATTAGAAACTAGGTGAACCATTTTTGCAAATTTGTAAAGTATTTAAAAAAACGAGAATAAGTGAATGTAGACGTTTGCTTTTGGAATTTAAAAAGATGCACCGTCATATATGAGAAGGACCCACGAAATCTAAAAAGATTAATTATACAAAGTTTCGCTTTGACTACATATAATAATATCTTTAAAATTTATTTTTAAATATCCCAACGCTTTGCAGGTAGGTATTAAGTATTAACAATCATTGGCATACCAATAACATACTTACCACGAATACATGTATATGCCCATCCATAATACCCCTAATAATTATTATAGTGATGTGTGCCACATCATGACTATACCCAACCATTAAAAATATGAGATACACTAAGAAATGAATTGCCACGGTGAATGGACGGAGGTACGCCGACGGAAGGGCAACGACAAAGTCAATCGGACTTTCCCTCTGTTGTTCTTGGACTCGACATCATTTTACGTTTCCAACCTCCAAAAGATGCTAGATGAAGAGAGTTGTGGAAAATATATGCCAAAGTTTGGCAATGTGTTTGATGTATACTTTGGTAGGAGAAAAGACGTTCAAGGGAACTTCTACGCTTTCATACGATTCAAAGGGGTTACTGACGCAATGGAACTCGAAATGGAACTTCAAGGGATCATGTGTATGAACTCCATCTTGTCGGTAAACATCTCCAAACATCCTAGGAAGCTTCCATCTACGCCGGGTCCAACAACAAATTCGTTTCAGTCCAAAGCTCCGACCTCGTTTCCCCCTCAACACAATGTAGGACTCTGAGATCCCAGATCATTCGCTGATGTCGTCAGGCCCATCATAGACCACTCATCTTCCACCCACATGCAACAACATACCATCCATCTCCGGCCTGCTCCTAGCATGGTGGGATGACGCACCAAATCTACTCTGGTGGGGGAAGCTCACAACTTGGATCATCTCAGACAACTCCCTGTTTCTCTACTAGGTGAAGATGATAACAGATATGGAGTCAAGTATATCGGTGGGTTAAAGATAGTCATTCAGTTCAAATATTTAGGTACTGATACTAAATTCTTAGATGACCCTAGTTAATGGACTGGGTGGTTTAAGTGGCTTAAGCGAGCTAACTTAACAAAAGTCGTGTTTGAACGTATCACCTGGATTAAAGTTATTGGACTGCCACGTGAATACTGGGATGAAGAAAGCTTCTCATTCGTTGCTAGCAGATTTAGGAAGGTAATTTCCTCGTTTGATGACATCCTTCACAGGTCCAACAACTTCGTCTCTAAAGTGGGCATTATCACTTCTTCTAGCTTATGGATTAATGGGGAGGTGTCGGTAGTTGATGGAGGAAGAACTTTTCAGGTTGGAGTAATGGAATATGCAGATGATTGGTCTCCGTTTTGTACTGGTGCTGTTAAATTCAGTGTGTGGGACTCAGTAAAAACCAAGAATGTGTCAAATAAACTTGATGGTGTTACTGATAATGATGATGTCATAACCAGTACAAGTTGTGGGGAAGACGACGATGAAAGTGAACCAGAGGACGAAGAATTTAGGCCGAATACAGATGTGTTAAACGTCGATGATGAACTTAACGACGATGATGAACCAAAAGATACGACGACATATCCCCGTGTAGTTTCCGTCGGCTCACCGGTTGTGGTGCCAGAATTGCATGCTGACGTGGAGGAAACTGAACTTGCAAACACAGATCTTCCAATGGGTGGTAAAGGAATCGAAAAGCCAATCATTGATTCCTTAATCTTGGGAACTCAAATCTTCGGATGAGAATTTGGGAATATTAATTGTACCACAAGCGGTCAGGAAACAAATAGCAGGCGCGTGAGCAGTGCTTCCCATGGTGGGTCATTCTCTTTCAAGGCTGGGCCCATCTCCACTTCCTTACTGGCCTCATGCTTTGGCCATCTCCCTTCAACTTTCATCCCACATCAAGTAAATTCCCATTTTAGCCCAAGTTATGAGTTTAACGTGATCAATGACGGTAGACTTAAAAGACACAAAACTAATGGCGAAGCTAACCCTTCTCCGATATCAACACAATTCCAAATCCCATTGCTTAGCGTGATCGAAGACTCCCACACTAACCTGAGCTCACCAAATCATATCTCATCTTTCCCTAATTACGCTCAAACCGAGGCCGTGTCTAGTGGCATCTGTATTGATGCATCTAATCTGGATACATCAGTTCCAAATCGTGAGGTTAATGCTACGATCGATTGAGGTTGGAAAGCAATTTGGGATCGAAATTGAAAGTGGAAACCCTATATTTTCAGAACTTATGGGAGATATCAGTGTATCAATTTGTTTTTAATAAATTGATTAAGTCTGGACATTAGGGGGATTGGTAAAGATGTCAAGGTAAGTTGGGCCAGAAGGTTAAAGGCTTTACTTAAATTTAGTTTCATTGGAATGCAGGAAACATCTTGGACGGTCCCCTCATCATCAATGAAGTTTGTTCATGGGTGAAGAAAACAAAAAAGGAACTACTATTGTTCAAGGTGGATTTCGACAAAGCATTCGACTCAGTTAATTGGGGGTACCTAGATTCTGTCCTCAAACAAATGGGTTTCAGGCATAAATGGAGAACTTGGATTAAGGGCTGTATTACTTCCTCTACGTCCTCGGTAATCATAAATGGCACTCTGACAGACAAGTTTGACACCAGTAGAGGGGTCCGACAGGGGGATCCTCTCTCTCCATTCTTATTTATTATTGCAATGGAAGGACTAAACATTCCGATGAAAACTGCATGTGACAAAGGCTTATTCCAAGGTATGAAGATCACAACTGATGGGCCTGTACTATCGCATTTGTTTTATGCTGACGATGCGATATTTGTGGGGGAATGGACTAGGCGATATCTCAAAAATCTCGCTAGGATCTTGAGGTGCTTTCACATTACTTCAGGACTGAAGGTTAATTTTCACAAATCCAAGGTTTTCAGAGTAAGGCTTCTCAAAGTGTCACGAATGAATGGGCTAATCTCTTGGGGTGCGAGGCTGGTACCCCTCCTTTCAACTATCTTGGGGTACCGGTCGGAGCTAATATGAATCATATTAAGGATTGGGATCCTATTCTGGCAAGGTTCAAATCTAAATTCTCAAGGTGGAAATCAAAGATATTGTCGTTTGGGGGGCGACTCACACTTATCCAATCGGTGTTGGGTAATGTACCTACATACTACATTTCTCTCTTTAAGGCTCCATGTGGGGTAATTAACAACCTTGAAAAGATCAGCAGGAAGTTTTTATGGGGGGGGGGGGAGGGGTAGCGCCGATAAGTCAAAAATCATTTGGGTCTCGTGGGACAAAGTTATAGCTCCTAAAAAGATAGGTGGACTTGGTGTGGGATCTCTACATTCACTGAATCTAGCGTTGATGGCTAAGTGGTGGTGGAGATACAAGTTGGATAATATGTCGTTATGGGCCCAAGTGATTACTGCCATCCACAATCTGAAGAACAAACCAGGTGATTATTTATCAAAGAAGACTATACCAAGGGTTTGGAATAATATAGCAGGGGCAAAACGGGATTTGGAGAACTGTGGCTTACATTTTAATGATATTATTCAGAAGAAAGTGAATTCAGGTACTAGTACACTATTTTGGTCGGACAACTGGATTAATGGAGGTAAGCTAAAGAAGAGATTCCCCGGTCTATACTCGATTGAGATGAAGAAAAAATACACGGTGACAGACATAATTAACGCACATGGATTCAACTGGGACTGGGCTTGTGATGGCCGGGCGGCGGGACTGTCACGTGAGCTTGCCTAAATGAATGCGGTTGTGGGTCTTTTCACACCTGGCGCTGCAAGTGATGGGTGGCGATGTGGTTTCGATTCCAACGGGGTCTTCTCTACTGATGTGGTCTCGATTCCAACGGGGTCTTATCCACAAGGGCACTTGGCTCTCCAGGGGTAAACTTCCTGGTGGTAACTTGTTTCCGAACAACTTGTTTGCCACCCTCCACACCGACGGCCATACACGCCACCTTCATCCATCTAACCCCAGTAAGAAGTCATCACTCCCAATCACTCGGTCCACCACACGGACAACACCCTTTTGGTGGAGTCAGGCCATATGTTCTTCCAAAACCTTCCTATTCGACCCCTCTACATCCAACTGATCATCCTACAGCTTCACTCTCCTCTCTAATGGCTCCTTCTCTGCCTCCAAGACCTCCACTTACTGTGAAAAATGCTCCACCTCCGCATATAAAATCACCACATGCTCCTCCACAGATGCCTTCTCCCTAGCCAGCAAGTCGTAGTGTCCCTCGAACTTACGCTTCTCAATATCAAGGCCCAACACCCTCCCCTTTATACCGCCACGCTTAGCATTGACGACAGTAAAGTCCACCAAATCCAAGCTAACGTGACGAAGGCGCCCAACTGCCGCCATCAAATAAGGGGCCACCTGAGCCGCTACATACTGCAATCTATTAGCCACGTGGGAGTTGGAGAGGAGATCCAATGCTTCTACGGTATCCGGAGGGAATGCGTGATGACTCTACTTCTACGTAACCAAATGTTGTGTAAGTAGAGACTCACGAGTGAGCGTCCACTCCGGGGGAAAGACACCAGGAGTAACTGAAGGAGAAATAGGAGCACTCGCATCAACATTGTCTCTCAATGGAGATGAAGTAAAGCCAAAGGAGGTTGGAACATTACCCTCTGAATCCTACCTAGAATCACCACCACCAAGGTCAAATCTGTCATTCGACTCTTCTTTTAGTTCATGAGGCGGTTCAGTTTCCTCAGTGCCCATCCTCTCCGACCGCACGAAAGGTCATCATCAAGGATGGTAATCAAAACATCGGACTCCCCCAACAAGAAGTCCATATTGTGTCTCTTTCGAAGATGTTTTCCAATGGTACTGGTACAATGTCTCCGAAAAGTGGGGAGTCCACCCAAGCTATCTGTCGTTGGTAGTTTCCCGGCCACCGCCAACCGCCACCTATTTCGCTGGTTCGTCTTCATAGTTTCGAGGCATAGAGTCATCGCGAGAAACACTCGCGACGACTGCATCCACCAAAGACGGATCAACTTGAGGACCAATCCCCTTATTCCCAGCAACAGGAGGTGCACCAAACTCCTGGGCTCGATCAGCACTAACGGGCGGAGGGAGGATCTCCACCAAAGGCACCTCACGGTACTGGAGATTCCCCATAAATTTTCCCTACATAATTGTTTCAAAGGGAAAGATCCTCTCATGCTTTGCAAAGACAAGAAGTAAGCGAAGTGAGTAAATCTCTTTCCCTACAAAATATATCTTTTTTTTAGTGGGGGTGGGGGGGGGGGGGGGAGGGAGGAGAAGATACCTTACCGTTCTTTTCCACAAAGTACTAATGTATCATCCTTCGAGCTCTCCAGGTGGAAATCATCCCTACCGCGGCTAGGATATGATCCTCCCAGTCTTCCCTGGTAAAGTAGATTACCTTCAACGCATGCGCCACGGTTAGGCTAGCACCCCACAGTTGGGGTGACCGGTTAGAGTAAACAGTCACCCGAGGATGGCCTTAACTAACAAGCTTGCAATTAACCCAACACCACTTATCTTGCCAATTCTTCTTGGGTGCTTTTTGGTTAACGATAAACGCATGAATGCCTCTCCTTTGAGAAAAGGTATGGACGCCAGATTGGGTGGAAGATTTGAAATAGGCTTTGAACGCCCATAAATGAGGCAACACTCCAAGGGCTCGACAGGCCAGTTCAAAGTTCACGATTTTGTTGACAGCATTGGGAGTCAAATCATCCATCGAGAAGTTGTATTGACGCATGATCTCATCGAAAAATTCAGTTGTCGACAGCCTCAACCCTGCCTTAAAGATCCGAATGGGGACTCTGACCTTACCCTCCGGTGGACGAAAGATGATAGCCCCCCTTCCTGGGATACTTCACCCCATGTTCAGGAAAGAAGCCGAATCGGGCTTTCAAGTCCTAGAACTTGCTTGCAGTCAGCTCGATTCCAGTTAGTTGCATTGCTATTGTTCTTTGAGAGCAAGAGCAGAAAAGGAAGAGAGGGTAAATGAAGAAAAGATGGAAGAAATTAAAGAGTGGGAAGTGTAAAGAGTAAAACCGTCCTTGATAAGGGAAGTTTTAAATGAAAAGCTGGAGAATCGAACAGTTACCATGATGAAATCTTCTGTACAGACGACCTCATCACATCAACGGACGTCAAGGCCATCTTCGTCGCACACGTGTCTTGATCTAAGATAGAACATCTCAGCTACGCCAGGCCAACATTGACGTCTACTAGCCTAGGGGACTTGTTAACATATCCCAATAGGAATACATTAAAGACAACAAAACTGCTATCTTTAGGACGACCTAGTTAACGGTCGCGAATCCGCTCTAGCACCAGACCAGGGCCCTCGCCCTCGTGCTAAGACCCTCACACTTGGCGCTCATGCCCCCATGTCCAATTCCTGACGACCTAGTTAACCGGTATCTGTCATCGGTATCTTTCAACCGGTAACTGTCATCGGTATCTTTCAACCGGTATCTGTCATCGGTATCTTTCAACCGGTAACTGGGGAATATTTCACCCCTACCATTATCATACAATAACAAGGTATAATCATACAATCAGGCATAACTGGGTACTGACCAACCCCATTGATCCTAAAGACCGATGCCAGGGCAAAACTAATCCCTACCACTACCATTATCACACATAACATATCATACAGGCATATCCCATGACTAAAGCACATAACCATACCAAGATAATTATCACAAAGAAAATCATCTAACAACTACCCTT